CACTTTAAGTTTTTAACAGCTGTGTCAAGCTCAACTGTGTCAAGTTACCCATCTTGAGGGTTCACTTCAAAGTTAAGATTAATGGAATATATAAGAATCATGGTGAAAGCAACTGATTTCAAAAACAAACAAGCAAACAAAGAAACAGGGCAACTTTAAAAATATAACTATAAATAAAACACATTTATGAAGCTGGTCATGTGGGCTACTGCGTTAGTTCCACTGCATTATTTCAAAGTTGTACATGACTGAACTAGTTATAATGCAGCAGCATCAAGCCCGTTCAAGGCCAACTAAGCATTAAAAAGGAAGAAAAGTGGGATTGCATCTTCAGAAAAATCAAGGCTTTGGCCTAAAAAGCTGTGCCCATTATTTGTGTTACTCTAGAAAGACCAGGATAAGCACTAACTGTCCCCAAAAAGATGAGGAAAGGATAATGATTCAGACATTGAAAGCAAAGGTTAATTGCAGTTCAGGGAGTCTTGCCCCTAACACAGATTGAAATTTCTCATATATATTAATAGATGAGACAGCCTTTCCATAGCTCTGGCTTTTTCCATAACTTTATCAGTTTAATTTGCAATTCACTTAACATTTACAAAAGAGGCCAAAGAAGAAGAAGAAAAGGCAAGTGGCCTTTATATCTTCTTTGAAGTAAACTTTAACTGGGTAACTTTGCAAGGTAGGTGTGGAATATCAAGGGCAGATTCATGTTCGTTTGCATAATTTCCTCCTGATAACACTGAAGTGAACTTATGGCTGCTGTTTTGCTGTTCCTGCTGCTACCACTGCTACTACCTATGTTAGTATGTAATCCTGCAAATTGTTTTGGGCTGCAGTGCTTTAGTTCTGCCTGGAAGTAGGTGCTATTGAATTCACTGGAATTTTCTTATAAGTAGACATGAATAGGATTCCACTATTGGAATGGTATCACCCTTCACTACCTTTTCAGAACTTAGCATAAAAGTATTTCCTCCTGTTTCTGCTGCAGGAAAATGATAGCCTTATGCAGGGTTCAGCCTGCTTACCTGTGGCTAAAAAATGAGAAGGGGTGTAGAAGCATACTATGAAGCATACTGGTAGAAGCATACTATAACTGATTAGTTAAGTCCAGATACAGTGTAATAGGCCTTCCATGCACACTCACACTCACTAGGTGATTGCATATATTGTAGTTTGTCAAAAATCCAGCCTACGTCTGTGGACCTTATGGATGATCAGTTTTATGAGATTCAACCATATGTCCATATCCCAATATATATGAAGTCCAGCTCTAACATAAGAGGTTTACAGTAGTAATGTAGTAAACTGCAATATTTGCAGATGGCTGTAATAAAATCATTCAGGAGAGGAAAGGTGCAAGGATGCAAAGCCTGAAAAGCTTTCCATCCTCCACAACAAACAAACACATCTGAGTAATGCAAAGTAAGGAATATATACACCATTGAACTGAACAGTCTTGTCCAAAATACTGCTTTAATTTTGTTCCTCAGTCCCATGAGTATTTTAACCTTTTTATTCTCTGCACAGGATCTAGCTTAAAGGGGCAAAGGAAGAAAGAATTCATAGTGGTGATGTAGTAGATCACATTTTATCCTTCCATTTAAAAAGATCTACAAAATAAAATTGATTTTTCCAGAAGAGCCACACATAAGCAATAGGATTTTAATAATGTAACTCATTTAATAGCAGTCAATATTGTTTTAATACCATACATACTGAGCATCTCTTCATATTCTTGTTTAGCCTTAACTAGGATTTTGAACTAGATGATCATAAGGATTCTTGAATGTTAAGTCATAACTATAGAGTTAGAGCAGGGGTCTCAAACTCGCGGCCCGCGGGCCGATATTTTGTGGCCCCCACTTGATATCAAAGTTTAGTGATAGTGTGGCCCGCATGTTTTTCTCACATACACCTGCGTGAGTTGTTACCCTGGGCACAATGTTCCCTCTAAGCTGCGCGCCGGGACGGGCGGGCACGGGGGAGGGGCCCTGCGACCTTCAAAGCGCCGGTGGCGCCCGGGCCGGCCTCCGGGAGCCACGCGGGAAGGGCGGCCCACCACCACCGCGGTGGTGGAATACTTGATGCGGCCCAGCCTCACCCAGACTCTACTTCCAGCGGCCCCCAGGTAAGTTGAGTTTGAGACCCCTGAGTTAGAGCAACTCCATACTTTATATTGCAGTCATCTTACAAATCACTACATGCCCAATACATTTGGTATTTTTCACAGCCAACTAATATAACATGATCAACAGCTGCAGATACTTAAGCATCTGTATAAATATGTCAGGAAGTTGTGACCCAGTCAGTCTCCTACGTGCACATGCACAGGTTTTTAAGGATGCACATCAATCTTCCACACTTTCCATGTGCATAGCAGCAAACTATGGTTCTGACAAGTCAGCACAACTGCTTCTTGGTGTGGATCCACTCTTTGACTTATCTTCCCCACTACTGGGTGTTAGGCCGTTGTCACATCAGAGTAGAGGTGACCAGTTTATGTCAAAGGAGCTGTCTATACTATGCCTGTGTTATATAAGGTGACTAATGCTAAGTCACCCATTTCACCCTTTCTGCTTTTGGAAGGTATGTAGAAATAATACTAATTGCTCAGTATAGTTTACTTCCCAGGACTGCTTTAGTTTACAGCTGACTGATAGTGGAGGAGCAGTATATCATAAGTTGGTGTGAAACAAAACCATGAAGGAAGGAGTTTATATATGAGGTTTGAGAGGCTAATAAATTATGTGAGGATGTAACAGTGAAGAGTTGGGAACCAGAATGAGTGCTACCACAAGGAAATAGGTAAGAATTTTACAAGTGTAATTGTTCACTGGCCTGTGACCTCACATTAAAGTTCATTCTATTTTAGTGAGTAAGGCAAAGACCAGGTTGATCTTTGTAAAAGCATCTGCCACTCAAAAGGCAGGCTTTCCTGTATTCTGCAGGATCTCTCTATCATCATGTCACCATCAGAAAGTGAATAATAGTTCAGGGGAGGAGTAATAGAATGATTTGAAAATAACTAACTTCTAATCAAGAGCAGATTATCCAGATTTTACAATTAATGCTATCAGTGGATGTAAAAATATGAAAAAGCATGTTGGAAGGCAAGGAATAAGATGTTCTGGAAAGTCCTATTCACTTTTTAAATATACAGGCGAATGATGATTCCCATTCCCAATTTCTTTGTTACTGATCCAAACAGGATAATAAGCACATTTGGGGAGGGGGATGAGAGAAAAGAAAGCATTTATACTGTAATATGTATGTGCATGAGGGAAAATAACCCTAAAAGATTGCAGGTATGGTATTTGCATTAAATTATGTACAAAAAATAAGCTAGAGTTAGAGATTTCCTAAAAGGAGATTAAATTTTCAATCCCCTGTTCATGAATTTTGAAACCTAAGCTGTTGATCACTGGATAGTTCCTCAGTTCTAAGGCTAATTGCTTTTACCCTCTACCTTTTCTAATGTGTGGTGCAGTGTATATAGAGAAACTTCATAAATGGGACCTCTGTATTCTTGATTATAGAAATTTAAGTTCTGAAATTATTTTCTTTGGATTTTTAGATCTTAGTTTGTAACTATTAATAATGTCCTCGATTTTGAAAAATTTCAGAAGGGCAGGAGGTGGAAAGAAGGAGATGATTGAGGTGATTGGTTGGTGAGACTGTGTGGGTGGAGCTTAGAAGTGTAGTAGGACAGAGAAATAGATACTTTTCAGCCAGTCAGTAATTAACAGTCAGAGTTGTGGTCAGTTAATGGTCTGCAGAATCTTGAAGAGGCCATCTTCTCATTAGAATCCCAGATAGTGCTGTGGAAAGCATTTAAGATTCAAAAGAAAAGGAAGGAAGTGGAATACTTGGAGGATATATTAGCACCAGGGGGAGTCAAAACCTAATATTGTCAAGCATTATAAAGGTGTGAGAGAGAGAAGGTGACAGATAGCCAAGTGGAGAAAGGAGTGAACTAAGATAAATAAAGACTGGTCAAAGAATAGTCAGAAGAGAAAGGATAATTTGAGAGTGAGAGTGATTGAGAAGGGAAAGACAGATACCTCAATCTGAAGTTATTACACACAGTTTTATAGTTTTAAGAAATAAGTTACAAAACATTGAAACCAAGATGGTTAAACCAACATTTTGTTTATTGCTATCGCAGAATCATAGGCTGCTTGAATACCAGTGTTTCACCCTCAGGACCACATAGTCCAATGAAGGAGTCTTATAGCTTGGACACAATATTGAAAGAGAGGTTAAGTAAAAGGATTGGAATAAAATTCCTGGTGGCAGCGTTACATACCCAGAGAAAGAGAGGGAGATATTTGAGAACTTAAAGACACACTATATCCAAGCAAAATATGAGTGTGCTTGTGACACTCCTATATGCTTATTTAAAGGGGAAGCCTTCTTTCAGGTTCAAGGCCTATTAATAGTAATTTGCCTGATCATCTTTGGCAAGTAAGAATTTTCTTCAGTAAACTAATGAGAAATAAAAGTGAATTATGTATTATTGAGGTAGCTTCCCCACCTCACCCCCCCATATAGGCATTTATGGACAGACCAGCCAAGAAAGACATTGGTAGTTTAGTAAGTTATGTTTGCTTATCTGCAAAACAATTCCTAATTGAGAAACAAGATTATTATGTTCACTGCCAATTACCTCAAGCTTCACTTTTCACAAAGCTATCAACCATGTTTGGAATTTAGTTCTGAAGAGAGTGTGTTGGGTTTTTAGTTTGTTTGAGACTGAAAAGAAAAAAAAGTGGGCTATGACCTGTTCAAATATGGACACGCAAACAAAAAATTCAGACAAATGTAGTGAGTGATGGAAAGGAGGGGAGTCAACTTGAGCTAGGCAATGCACATTATTTCTTCCTCGTTGAAATGTCTGGCATATGCTGCATCTTATGTTGCAGAAGGATACTCATTAAATATTATGAAATGTATCACATGAAACAAAGCTTGTCTTTACATATTGTAGTCATTCATACCTGTGTGCTCATATTTGTGTCGCAGAAGGGAACTGCTTTTCTGGAATGTCTTGTCACATAAGTCACATGCGTACATGCCACTTTCTGTCTTCTTGATCTTCTTTCGGGACAGGCAGGAGTCGGAATCTGTCATGTCATCAAGACCTGACATGTAATCCGGTGTTCCATCAAGCAATTCTCCCTGTGATGCAATCAAATAGTTTATGAAAAACAGGTTTCCTTCCCTTGTTGCTGTTATACAATATCCTGTGTCCTTATAGTACATTAGCCATTATAGTTAATTTCTTGTGTAAACTGAGTTACGGTAAACAGTGTCACTGGCTTACAGTCTCATTTTTATCAAATTGAGGACTAGCTCCTAAACAAGCTGTTTTTTAAAAGTGGTGTGAAAATAATGTACATGGTTTAACTCTGCAGAAAGCAGTGTCCAGACTTGCTGGAGGAAGGGGATGAAGCAGTCTTCTCCAATTCTCCCTTTCCCCCTGTAGGCCCTATTACTACCTTCCATGCTATTCTAGAAGGTGCAAGGGAGGGGGTCTCCAGAACAGTGTGAGAAGTGGCAGTGGGGTTGAGGGTTAAGGGGGAATCACTTGCCCTGCCACTTTTGCCAGTCAAAAGTCTCCTTTTCATCCCAGTTCCTTTTGTGGAGGAAGGGAATCCTCCTGTTCATGCTGATGAAAATGGAAAGAATATCTGGAGCTAACCCAGCATGTTTAGGTTGCCACTTGAGTCTGAAACTACATGCTGTGACGCAGGACAGCCATGGAAAAATTACTCCACCCCCATCTCACATAACATACAACAATACTTAGTCCCTGTTGCCATACCATCCTATTGCATGTTTCCTGCCCTTTCCCACATACTTGGCTAGTAGTGGTGGGGATCAGGAAGAACCCAAGATGATATCACATCTAGAGATGTGAAGACCTGGAAAAAATACTGGAAACATTCCGCTTCATTTATTACATAGCGGAATGGGAAGGAGAGGATGGGGCTGTCTGGGGGACGTGCCAATGACTTTTGCAGGGGTCTTGAAAAGTTGGAAAAATTGAAATGTTTTGGTATGTGTAAATTTTCTTTTAGGACAGTGAAAAATTATTTTTAGGGTGACAGATTTAAAGCATGGTGTGCAGATACTGCTACATGGCCTTTACTTCCTGGAAATGCTTTCCAGCAATTATGTTATACAAGACTAAAGATGTAAAATTTCTGGACATTTTGAAAAAAATGGGAAGAAATTGTGTTTAATCTTCTGTCTAGTATTCACAGCATGTCTATTTCTTCCATTTTTATTAAGATTATTGTTCTAATATATGTTTTATTGAGAAATGTTTATAGATGCTCCAGGACATATCCAGGTTTCCAAATTGTGACCAGAATCATGATATGGATGCAAAGAATTTTCTGTTAGGGTCCCCCAGTTGTGGAATAGGTTTCACAGAGAGGCTTACCTGTTGCCCTTACATTGTATTTTTTGGCATATAATGAGGACCTTCTGATTTTGTAAACTGCCAGAGAGCTTTGGCTGTTAGGCAGTACAGTATAGAAATTAAATAAATGTTCCTTGATATTTTAGTCTCTCAGGTGATAGTGTTTTAAATCCATACCTGCATTTTAAATGCAAATTAAATATAAAATTTAATATTAGCATTGCTGCTAGGCTTTATTTTCACCTTTATTTTTTACATAGTTTTAAACTTTTATAGTGTATCTTGTCATGTTGTATTTTATAGCTTAAATTGTAGTGAACCTTCCATAAAGTTTTGGCTATTGGATGAAATGGAATGGAATAAATAAAATATCATAATAGATAAAAATATGTACATTCTCAACTATCTTGGATTTATTCTATAGGGGCCTGGGTTCTGGTTAAATGCTGCAGCAGTCAAGGAATATAGTTTTAAAAACCACATGTGAAAGAAACACATGTTATCCCACCTCTACCAGCACAAGTGATAGAACAACTAGTGGGTAATCTCACTTTTTTTAAAAGGTTTACATCTCTGGAACTCACTGTCACTGTTTTTATGAAAGCTCTACAATTAGGCCTCTCCATTAGTTAATGCTACCTCAGTTATAAACCCTTTAGCTGTTTCTCCAGTTAAACAAACTCTTAATATCTCTTTTCCTTTGCATCAGATTTCCCTAACTCCAATCCACCAAATTCTTCACAAACAGAAATAGATGTTACACACTTCATCTGTTCCAGCTATTCCTGCTTCTTATGGCTTCTAACATGATTTGGATGTTTCAGGGACCACAAGCTGAAGTTCCCTCTGATAAGGCATAAAATGGCAACCTAGAATATGTGGAAATGTTTTTCCCCACAAAATTATCATGTTTGGTATATTAAATGTAGTTTTTGTTTGGTTTCTTCAGATAATAATTACAAATTTACTAACTTTACTTTTGGATAGTTTTTATTCATAATATGATGAGCAAACCGAAGTTCTAAAAATCTTGCATCTCAGGCCACATGTAGATAAATGATCCTATACATTGCAAAGAGAGGCAGAGAATTCAACATTGGAGGTATGTTTGTAATCTTTGCTGTACGTTGCCAAGCAGTAGTTTCACTCCCAAGTAGCACCATACACTTAAAGGTTAGAAGATGGCAATGTTGTGATTGTATAAGACATCTCAGCTCCTTCTTAGACTGTCATGAAGTCAGTTTTTCTCTATGCTGGAGTAGAAGGCTATGAGTATGGAACTCTGATAACATCATTGTACTTTATCAAGTTATATCCATGAGTCCAGCAGACTCTAGTGCTAAGTCTGAAAATTTGGACATGACAGTCATCCTGCACGATTATATTCAGAATTCCAAAACTAAGGTGCAATCTTTTACACACTTACCTGAGGTAAGTCTCACTGAACTCAGTAGGTGATAATGATCAGCAGAAATACATGGGATTTCACTGAATGAGCACCTTAGGAAATGACAAGTGTCGGGGTGAAGACACAAGCAGTGCCAAGGCCTTCTCCTTCCTGTTCTGTTGCTTAAATGCAATACTGTTAAATGGCTCTTTGATTTCCTGTTCTCTTCTACTGCACAGATTTAGCATTTCTACTCTTTCACTTCTCAGAGATAGCCAAGCAAAAATCATGGATTTTTATTCCATTCAGCATCCAGGGGACAAGGACGTGAACTTCTATTTTGAGCAATACAGAGATATAAGAGAATAGTGCTTGTGCTTCTTATTCATTCTGCATATACCACTATTCTAAATACAGATGGAAAATACACCACAGAGATATATGTCTAGATAGTCTAAGGTCCCGCCTGTGTGAACCATACCTAGAAAGTTCCATGAATATGTTTTCTGGCTTAGAGAATACACACCCATACAAAATCTGGAAATCATACAAAGTTTTAAAAAGGAAGGACGGCTTCAGTGACAAGTTAATTGGTAATTTTTATGCATTTAGATATTTAAGTTTATAAATATTTTGAGTCAAAACACTGTGATGTTTTAAACACTTCAGTATTAAAACAACTATAACTGAAGCAGCTCTAACTCAGCTGTTAAAATTTTTGCAAAGTAACTGGAAGTTAATGGAATCTCAGAGTGGATCCAAATCCTACTTTACCATTGTACAGGCTCCTACATAAATAGTTTTAATTTCACATGTTCTAGGCGTAATTCTGAGAACTGAATGAGTAGAGCCATACACCCACTGGGGCTTTAGACTTTTGCTTCTCAAATTGCAAAATTCTTGCCCCACTCAATATCACAGTATTTATTGTTCAAGTAAAAGAAAGCAAAATTCTAGTTGTTCTCTGGATTGTGGTATCTGTATTTGCCGGATTATTATCTGGCAACATATCTCTGTACATGTAAGGTCCACTGAGGGTTTGCTTCTCATTTAGTTATGCTTAGCATTCCAAAGTTCATGAAGTGTTCTTAGTTATAGGAAGTTGGAAAAAAAGAAGATACAAGCAATAACTAAAGGGATTTTCTTTCAACATACCAAACACTCACACACACGTATTCCATAAATGTTAGAAAGGATTTAATTGAATTTTATATTTAGGTACAAAATATTATTATTATGCAATCCATTTAAATGTATGTCTCCCCTCTAAAGGCCTTGAGCTACATTTTTATATTTAATTTTGTAATTTGAAATAGGGAATATTAATAACACTTTTTATCAATGCTCTATCTGTGTTAAAACAGCCTTCAGCATTAAGCAATAATGAATGTGGATCAGTAAATTATTAAATTTCTTGATATTTATTTTGTCTTGATCCAAAGAGAGCAAAAACTTGCATGATAGCGTACATTTCCATTTGCTATCAGACAGTTCAGTTTCTTAAGACTAGGTTTGTACTAATTAATATTAAAGAAGATTAAATAGGCTTAAATACGTTTACAAAGAGGGCAGATGTACTGTAAATTGGAATAGTGGAACAGCTGTTATGGAGGTACCGTACTATTTATGCTTCTATTGTACAGAGAGGATTACTGTCTGTAACATTAAACCATACCTGATTTTCACATTTGAAAATATAAAACATTTACTAGTTGGTAAAATTACTAATGGAACCTAACAGGTCATATGGGAATGTCCACAGATGTTTAAAAAAATCAATAGTAATCAGTTAATCTCCCTTTGCCAAACTGTAGTTATATAGTAGATACATAATTCCTACTCAATATAAATGTTTCCTGTGGATAAAATCCTCTGCTATATTTAAGTGGGCAGATGCCATGAGTTGTTATTGTTTTTTGTTTTGCATTTGGAGTTTCTAAAAGTTTAGAAGCAATGTAAGATCTCAGTTACATTGGACGGCAGCTCAGTGACAGAACACATACACTCCAGGCACAAATTTTCAGGTTCAGTCTGGCATCTTCAGTTTGAAAAGGATCAGGTAGCAGTAAATGGGTGAGACCTCTGCCTAACTCTGTGGAAATCTGATGCAGTCACAATATTGGGCTAGGTGGACCAATTATTTGACATGATATAAGATAACTTTATATGCCCAAGTATAATCCACATCATGTCAGCCTAAATCAATATTGAGGGAACCTTATATGAAGAAGAGGGCTATAAACTTCCATAAAAAATTTCTAGAGCCTTCTGTGGGATGGAATGATGGTGGAAAAGAATAGATAATTGTGGAAAATGGAACAGGTGAGATGAAAACAAGTCTGCCTTGAGGATCTTCTTAATCCCTTTTATAGCTTTGTAAAGCTTAGTCAGAATGTATTATGAACAGCTTATGTCTGCATTATCATTCCATATGATTTCCTGTGAATCTCTTAAAGACTGAACTTTGAATGGCAGTACCAAGGAAGCCACAGACTAAAGGACTCTTAGAGGGATGCAGTTCTTTTGGAATTACTTACAATGAATTGGCCATTCATGAAGTTGCCCTGGTTCTTATGATCAAAACAATCCACTTTGACTTACTATTTAAGCCCTTGTGGGCTATGACATGTGCAGGCAGCCATTGTGGATGTGGTGCAACTTATCATAACATCTGAACACAGGCTAGTTGTTGCTATGGTTAATAAATTACTCCAGCCCATAGGATGGTTTTGGTTTGGGAGTGGTTTGTTAACCATGGCAACAACCTACCCTGTGCCAGGTAAAGACATTATGATAACAACCTCCCACCAGAACTTGAATACTCACAATGGATGCTGGCATGTGCTTGGCAACTCACTGGGTATTGAATAAATTATGGTGGACTAATAATTGTACGAACCAGGCTTAGTCACAACCCTTGTTTTAAAAAGCATATATTTACTCATTCTTAGTTGTGATTCCGATTGTTTTTATCTCAGGCTGGTTTTCTTTGAAACCTCCTGAAATGTATGTTAAATACTAATGGACAGCTACCAGGTACTATAAACGAACATTAATGTTCATATATCTTATGTTTCTAAGGCTTAATTTTTATTCTAAAGCATTTTCTTTTTTAAAAATTGAAATGATTTTTTTAAATAAACAAGATTTGAATTACGTTGAAAGCTGATTTAATCTTAGGATGTTAAAATATTACATGGAGATGCTATATACAAATGTGAAATAAGACACTTACCTGAAAACCTTGCTTCCGCTGGTACTTTCGCCTTTGCTGCATTTCAGCAAATGTAGCTGCTCCAGTTGGGTAAGTATAGGCCATATGTGGTAGGAAGCTCATTTGATCTATTCCTGGGTATGGTCGTAGCCCAGGGATACTGGTCTGAACTGGTGGCATAAAAGTGGCTGGGGGAAATGCGCTCTGTGGTGGAAGTGGGGTATATAAAGGTTTGGCACTAAAAGGGTTCATACCAAATACAGGATTAGTGCTTTTATCCAAACTATTTGAATTAGAAAATTCTTTCTTGATAAAAGTCAAGTTCAGTGGCTCATCTGAGTTTTCAGATGATGAAGAAACACTGTTGTGGTCTACATTTACACTATTGGATTTTGTTTTGTTCTTTGTGGCTATAATACTTTTGGGTTCCTTCATTTGTTTTGGTAAAGACAAGTCCAAAGGCTCAGCCTGAAGCTCCTCAGAGGAGAAACTGTTTGGAGTGTAAGAACTACTATGGGAGTTTTTAGAAGATGTGGAAGAAAGATTTAAAGGAGAAGGAGTATTGCTCCTAGAGTGGTCCAATTTATCAACTGTTTTAATACTAGTAAAGTGAGTAGGTTTTGTTAGCCTGAGAGGAGTATCACAGTTAGAAACACTGTTATGAAGTTCAGCTATAGATGGCGATGTTATAGAGTCCACAGGCTTTATGGGAGACCTGGCTGACAAAGAGTCTTTAGCAGGAGTGTTGTTGGTGGCAGCCAGCACCACCTTGGCATTGCTCCTTTCCAGCGATGGTGACCTGGGCGTTGCGTACTGGTAGACTTTTCTTTGTTCGAACCATTCCTTCACAAATTCCTGAGGAAGGCCAACGGCAATGGAAATTTTCAGTAGTTCATCAGAGGTGGGTTCCATATTCATAGCAAAGTATGCTTTAAGTACAGACATATGGTCCTTGTATGGATTGATGGGGCTAGTCATTCGTTTCTCAGACAGTACTGTTGACAGGAGGAGAGCTTGCTCATCCACAAATACTCCTGGTTTGCTAGGTGCCATGTTTTCATGAGGTTGGAGGACTGCCTTGATTTCTTCATTCATCTTACACAGGTAACGTTCATGCTGATGCAGGGGAATGGGGCCAGGAAAGCTTTCCTTACAGAACTGGCATGAAAATGGAGTAGGCATATTATGGTTTTCTATCATTTTATCTTCAGTTACCAGATCTATTAGAGTGCGTAGCTTTTCCTTTTTAATATTGTTGAGCTGCCTCCTTGAGTCTGTAGTTAAACTCTGGAGACAAGCTTTGGCTTCATTGACCTTTTCTAATGTGTAGTCAATAATACTTTTAGTGGCACCATTATGACTGACTACTGGAAGACCCCCAGGTGGAATACCAGGAGAAGTAACACTCTGTTCCTCTGGCTGAGAACATGGGTCTTTCATGTGATAACCCTTCAGTTTTGAGATCTCTTCACTGCTGCAGTCCATTTTCTGCCGAGAAACGGTGTTGTCCACAATCTGTAGGACTTTCTGCACCTCACTTAAGTTGCTCCCCATTGCTGGGAATCCAAGTAAAGGTGCTTCCATTCCTACCCCTAAGTGCTGCATTGAACTTTGCGTAGAAGGATGGACTCCTATTGGGCTGGTTGCACCAAGTCTGCCATTCATGAAAGGATTAGCACCAGTGAACCCATGGGTTGCCATCAGAACTTTATATTCATTGAAATCTAGTGGTTCTGTTTTGATTTTCAGTAAGCCTGATTGCTCAGACATACTAAGTGGTTTTCCATTGTCCAGCTTGTTTCTCAGTTGTGTAATGGTTGAATTAGTGGGTGAGGAAGATACAGAATTAGGAGAAGAACCCGTCTTGATATTGTTTCTCAGTCGACCATTTACAGAGATTAAGCCAATACATTTTTTGCTGCTGATGTGTGAACTGTATGAGCCAGAATGGGAGAAGCGCTTCTTGCAATTTGGACACTCGTACGGTTTTTCACCTGCAATGAAGTTTTAAGAATTAAATGTTAGTGATACATAAACATGCATATTGGTAGTACAACTGATCACATCATGTTTGCAAATTTTATCCTTTTCATCTTATTACACTTCATCCCTACTTCCAAAGTATGTTTAGATCTTCACAACCAGAAACAATGCCATTTAGAATCTCTCCAATTAGCAGCATACAAGATTTCTTCTATTTCTGGGAACTCCCTAGCTTTTACTGATTTCTATTGCATGCATGCCTATAGAGCTTTTAGAAAAGGAAATATGGGACCTTAAGTAATTTAGTATATAAAGCAGTACATTAAAAACTTATATGCTACACAGTAGTGTTAGTAATATCTCAATACAGGGAGCAGAAGGATATAATTTTGCATGCTGTTTAATAAGGACTCAGGCAACGGGCAGTTACCATGATTTCCTCTGCAGCAAATTCTCTATAACAGTAGCACAACTTTGTGTGGGGCAGTTGGCATGCTGAATACTCCAGATGTTATTTGATTCACTGTATGCAAATAGGCTTATGATTGTTAGCGGGGTGAGAGACCAGTACTATAAATATTTTCCCCTTCTCCTTCTTGCTTCACCCAATCTGAATTCTAAACAAAGGGAAAATTCTGCTTCAGAATAAATTATGGAAATTGGCACATATTGACTTACTTTGCTTTAATTGTTTAAATTCCAGATGGCCTGTGACGTAATGGCCAGAGAAGAACAACCATGTCTCTCAGGAAGGGTCAGTGAATCTTCCTCCATCCTCGTCATCCCTACCCTAAAGCCTTGGTCCTTCTACCTTCTTTTAATCTTAGTTAGCAGGTTTGTTTTAGACATATTTGAGGACTGCCAAACCCTCATAACTGGGTTTGCACAATAAGATAAGCCATAGAAAACTGGCAGCCATGAATGCCCAGTGCAAGATGCAGTCCTTACAGTAAATTAACCCACGGTGGGCTGTCATGATGTGTGAACAGGTCTAAAGGCTCATATGGCTTATTTTCAATCATGGTTTAACTAAACCAAATTCTGGACATTACAGGTGGCTATGTTTTAAAGCAGAATGTTTCTCCTCCAACTGAGCATGCAAAAGAAGAAAGGAAGAGAAAACTATAAGCCCGAGGCTCACCAGAGCATCTTGTCCTCCTTGTGGGAAATTATGGCTTGCTATTACATCTAAACTGAGCTATTGACTTCAGTGGGAGCATTAAACACATACTTAACAGTCTCTATTTGAAATTAGTAAAATTTAAAGGTGCTTAACTTTGGATTAGACCCAAGATTTACAAGTACTGATCTGCTAGGTTAAAAGCCAAATTTGTTTCTAAACTATTGATGCTTAAAGGTTTGTTAATATACTTAGAATAATTATAATTATTATATAATAGTATAAGCAAAAGATGTTTTGTAAACTTACTGTAATGTACAGACACAATTGCACAAACTTCTTAAGTCCATTTTTAAACTTTACAATATGGCATTGAAGTATCTTTGTCTACAGTCCTATACACACACCTAGAATTACTTCCTACTGAAGTCAGTGGGACTTACATCTGAGTAGTCATACAAAGAGTTTTACTGTTAATGTCTTTGCAATTTAGAATTACTGTCATTAGTACATGCTTTACTTACAATGAGCCTATATCAAAGGATGATGACTTTTAGTTTTGTAAGATCTCTAAGTTTCACTAAAAGACTGGCTTTCAAATATTCATGAGTTCCAAATAACAGTTAAGATGTTGCCTTATTTTCCTACCATCATATCTCCTCAACCAGATTCATGTGAGCTCAGATGTGTACCTGGGTTTCTTAAGGCACCTGGGGAACCAATTTATTTCAGTGCAAGGATCTATTTTATGCACAAAATCAGCTGTCTTTATTAAAATGACGGGCAGTGTGGTGAAATAAATGTTGGCTCTGGATGTATGAAACCACATTCATACTCAGGTAATCTGCAGCCATTTCTAACTACCTGGTGAAGGTATCTCAATGTATGCTTTTTTAAAGACTTAAACAGAAAATATTTTGCAGGAACACCTTTAAAAGCATGTATGAGGCTGTGCTACGAAGCACACCAGTTTGTTTATTTATTTATTTAGGAGATTTCTATGCTGCCCCATTTGCCGAAGCCTTGGGGCGGCTCACAACCATAAATAAACTTCAAAATAGAATAATATAAATTAACAATATAAATTAAGTTGCCCTGCCAGTTGCAGTCTTGGGTGAGTCACAATTTCTGAGGCTAACTAATCATACAAGGAGACTGTGAGAATAAACAGTTGCACTAGAGAAAGCATGGCTACAAATGTAGCCAAAAATAAAATAAAATAAATAAAATAAAGTAGCCATCCAAGTAAAGGAACTTGATATATTATCATGGTGCTAATTGGAGGTATTAATAGTCCTATTTTGGGGTTCCCCATATTAAAAAAAATAGGACTATTTACAATTCTAAGAATTTCTATAGCCCTCTCAGTAGAAGTAACTCAGGAAGCAATTGTGGTTTAATTAATTAAATAATTAAGTAATACACTGTGCTGTTAGGAGAATCATCTCTGGAAACTTGGTGGGTTTTTTCCTTCTTCTGAATAACATGAAAAATGAAGATGAGTCAGATACCATGCAATATCTTGATTGTTCTAAACAAAAAATGTGTAGAAATCTTCAGAATTCTTTTCTGAAACTCAGCTAATTAAACAAAATGCAAATGAGAACCCTAGCACCTCAACTACTCACCACTGTGGATTCGCAGGTGTTCCTTCAGATGGTGTTTATATTTGAAGGCCTTGCCACACTCTGTACACTTGAACTTACGATTGCCTGCTCCTTGGGTCAGCATTTGGTGCTAGGAGAATGAAGAAACCAGCATGAATTTTATGCGAGAGAGAGAGATTTCTTTTTCAGAAAAAAAGCAGCTTTGTATTTTTCTGTCAGAGTAAAAGATCTGTGTGCACATTTATTTGCCTCATCAGTGCTGCCATAAAAATCAAAATGTTGGCAGTAAACCTGAAGCAAATCTGAATGCACTTTTAGCATTTACTTTGGAATTACTTCTTAGTCTTTCATCAGCAGTGCAATATATTAAGGCATGCAGTGCTGGGAGGAATAGATTTGTTAATTTTTAAAATTGTAATATTACCAGTATATTGTTACTACATAACATTCTTCATAACATGCTATTTTAAAATATCAATATATTCATTGTGTCTTTAAATGTTGTGGTTATAAACAAGTTTCATTTGTTGACAAAAGCAAAGGATGGTCACTGCTAGAAAAAGTCTTGAGAGTCTTTCTGCTTCTTTTCTGCTTCAGAGCAATGCAAGGGAGCAGGGGGGAAACAAGAGGAAAAGTTGGCAGACAGGGGACGTTAAAAATCAGCATAAAGATAGACTCAAACACAGCTGACCTTTCTGAACAAGTGAGAAAAGTACTTTGACTTTGAATTCTGACCAAAAGAAAAAGAAAAAGAAAAGCTGCAGTCATCTAGTCTGGATGTTCAAGGTAGGAGGTCAGCCTTTTTTTCCCCTCCCAAGCAGCAATGACACAAAAGCCTATAGCAGAAAAGACAGCACAGAAACGGTATGACAACTGCTAGGGTGTGCTGAATCTTCCCACATTCCTAGTGAGACAGATGGTGTTACATGGGACACAGGGAGGGTTGTTCAAACAGCAGCAACCTTCAAAGATCAAGCAGAGCCCAGCCCGCCGAGCGCCATTGAGGGACCAGCGCTCATATGTTGCTGAGTTGCATAAACAAACAGCAACAGCTGCTTTGTCTCCCCCCACAGCCCTCAGAGGACTACTATAAACTTTAGTTGTGCCACTGTTAATATGATACAATCATTTTAATTTACTAATTGTAAATGCCATGAGCAAATGAGGGGACTTTTCAACACCAAAGCTACCATTCGTAATGCGCCAACACAATCACACTCTTGCATGTGAAATTTAAGGCAGTTAGGTTGGATAAATATCCAGCCATTTCCCCCCTAGTGTTTTGCTAGTAGGAAGCAATAGGGAGGGGAGAGAAAAAAGCCACACAGATTCCTATTTTGTCACAAAGCAGAAAAAGTTGGAGATTGCTAACCCGTTGTACTCTTTAAATGAAATATTATGCTAACCTCTGTCCAAATAATATTTTATTGATTACAAGGATCAAATGAAAGACAGTGAGCTAATTACCAAATTGCTTGATTAGAAGGTGTGCCTGATGCATGTTTGCCTAATAAACATATTTTATTGAAAATTATCTGCCAAGATAATCTGTGTAAGTATTGTTTTCTATTCTTTAAGATAAACCGAAGCTATCTGTATAATTCCTATATAACTAAACATAATCAATGCATATAACTAAATTTAAGATGTCCATTGGAATATATCTTGGAACACATCATAATCAAAGTTTTAAAATGTAATTCTCTAGTGAGCAGGAAAAATATCGGATGTAAAGAGATTTCTAATATAGCACATTTGCCTAATTGGTTTATGATTTTCACAAAGTTTAATCATATGTTCAAAAGAGACATAACTTATTTGTTTAAATCTAAGGCATATTTGATCAAGGGATCATTCTAATTTATAGCAGATATACTGCTGTGATGTATACATCTGAGCAGTTCTGGATCATATGTTATTAAAACAATTATAAAACATGCAACATGTGTACAAGATTAACTCAAAAATATGAATGTGTTTTGATGAACTAGACAAAAATATACAAAAGGCTTGATAAAAGTTATGAATGACAGAAAAGAAGTTTAGCAGATTCTTGAGATATTTGAGATCCTATATAGAAAAAAGCGAGTAAAACTAGTTGAAAAATGGAATTAAAATTGCTGAGATGTTTAATAATGTATAATTAAAATGCCACAATTTCATTCACATTTTGAGGAACATAAAAAAATGAAACTAAAGTCAAGTTAAAGTGCAAATAAAATTTCTAAATTAGAAATTAACACACTCATTCGATCGTGAACATAAGACTATTAAATCATATTAGAAGAGACCATCAAAAAATCATTTAGACCTCAATTAAAGCTATTACCATTAAAAGATCTGCATCTTCAAAATGCCATGAAAAATTAATAATGATTGCCAATCAAAGCAATATCATTTCTCTAAGGGGTTATTATAGAAAGAAATCACTTAAAACAAGCCCCCCCACCTGATCTGTCCCTGGCTTGTGCGTCACCATATGCCGCTCGAGCTGGGTGCGGTAGGCAAATGTGTAGTTACAGAGAGGGCAAGGAAAGTTTTCCTCGTTCTTCTCGTGGCGATACTTGATGTGCTCCTTCAGTGATGTCAAACGCTTGTAGCCCCGGTCGCAGTAGGGGCAGGTCAGCAGTTGGGCAAAAGCATCTGGAGTTCCAGGTGGCAGGTCTGTAACCAAGAGACATGAGAGAAAGAGGCAGGCCAAAAGGTCAGTAAATCAATGGCAGCTAATGGGCTTATTGCCCAGGATGGATTGACAAGAATCACTGCAATCTGCCTACACTGGGGTGCCATGGTTCCTACCTAGCCTGCAAAATGCCTCAATCATGTTTCACACATTCAAGCCAAACTTGTATGAATCATTAAAAAGGAAGCCCAAACTTTGTTCCATCCTCTTTGCAATAGCTTTTTAAAGGAAAATATTTTTCTTTGATTTATTGATGCTGTGTACATAATTACCAATCTGCTGTCTCCATACGCAAAACCAACTAGCTTATCTTCATGGATACCTTTTTCAATTATTTATTAAAGACTCAACAAAATCAGTTAGTAATCCTTAATTTATCCCATGAAGTCAATCATTCCAAAACTAAAATTAGATCAAAAATACAACTCCTTTAAAATGTAACCCTCAATTGTCCCTGCTATTTATTTCACCTACAGGTCAATTTACTGACCAAAAAAATCACAATATGATGAAATTACAGTCCCAATCTTTGCTCATGAAATTCCATGCTTCTGCAGCTGTTCTTTAATTTTAAGGTAAACACCCAGGCATGTAGTGCATTTATAATTACAACAGCTGCAAGAGGTCACTGGCTAAAAATGAATTCCATCCTCACCATTTTCTTCTTGCCCATTGGCTTCTGGAGTGCCAAGACGAGACAATTCCTCTGGGGCTTCTGGGTAAATAATGGCGGTGTCACTGCGCTGTAGGTACTCTGCTATACTGTCTGAGTGTCCATCTCCTTCCTCCAGTTTCCTCTTAGCAAAATATTCTTCAAATTCCGACGTGCAATTTGCATTCTTAACTAAAATGGATGGGGCAGGAATGGGGGGAGAGGAAAATAGCTTTATGTAATCACGTTTACAGGGATTTCTTCATCTTTCTGCATACTGGTGCTGAAGCTACCCATTTACCTTTTGAGCTTAACCTTATATTCAGCAATTCTTTCAGCTAACTTATTTTTCCTATTAATAAAATAAGTGAGTGGTTTTATATATTTGCAAAAACTGATGCAAATTGATGGCAGAATCTTTGCATGTGCCCATTTCCACAGGGGAAAAAAAAGAAAAGTGGAAATGAAAAGTACAATCCTGCATGTTATCTGCACACAGAACTGCTCTGGTTCACATAACATGACGATCCATTCTGGCCGGTAAACCAGGACAGATTGTCATATCAGTTACTAATTTCCACAGGTAGGCTTATTTCCTGTGAACAAACTATGGCATCTTTTGGGATTTCCTAAATCCTGATGTATTGCCTAAACCCAGAGGTTTGATTTCATCGTGGTTTACTGGAATAGGCTACAGAACCATTTGGCAATAGCAGCAAAATATTTTGTGCTAATGGAATTTTGAAAGGAAGGTACCCATTCCCTGTTTTTTTAAAACAGAAATCCCTTAAAAATAAGCAATTGGGTTGCATTTTTTAAAATGTTATTGGTCTTTCACAGCATGCTCTCTCCACTGTCCTTTTTTTTAAAAAGTCTTTCCTGGTCAGTTGTTTTGTCTGTTTCATCTGGAATAGGTAACATTAAGGGAAATTGACAAGATGAGATTATTGATCTACTTTTTGCACGTTGGGTGAAATAATAGTAAGAGAAAGGAAGAACTAGGAGGGCAATGCAGAAGCAGCAAAAATGTGAGGGGAGAGCTGAAGTAGTAAATGCACTAAAAGCCAGAGGAAGGGAACAATATGGCTTCCTTAGTAATGTGATCCTCTTTCTCTGACAATTTGAAAAAATAATTGTAAAAAGCAGCTGAATGGGATAGCGTAAATGGGGCCCATATTAACACCCTCTTTTCACAGCTCCTTTTTGGCACACTTAGTTGTGTGGTTATTGTGGTTTTGCTGGCAGGTTAAAATAGACTCTGAGGAGGAGGCTAAATGGGATCCAGCCCCCACCTTGGGGCACCATTTACTTTGTCCCATTTAGTTGTCTCCTCAGGTTATTTTTAAAAACTGTCAGGGAACCATAGTAACCATATCAGTAAGTGCTCCAAACAGGACCTGAAAAAAGGGGGTGGGGAGTCAATATATTTCCTTTTTGAACTACTTGCAGGCTCCAGAAAGTGCTGAACAGCTGGAGAACATTGAAAAACTATCAGTTCAATAGTTCAAAGTCAGTAGGTCGCATTGACAAAGGATAGATATTTTCTTCCGCCTTTTGGTGCACTTTGGCTTTACCTGTCCCCCTTTTCAGTGCATCTCACTAGCATTAGTGGGCACATCCTTTCCTTTTCCCTTGGTCTTTTGCAAGTGTGTGCAAATGAGCTGATAAGCAGTTTTGACTTGACAGTTTCCTTGTATGTTACCTACTCCACCTCAGCCCTATTTTTGACAGCAAAAACTGCAAAGGAAATTGACCAGCAAGATGACCTATCTTGGACCGCCATAACAGTGCACTTGCAAAAGTCCAACAATGACAATAACCCCACCTGTGCATTTTTGAGTCTCCTAAAGAACAACCTGACGAATAACAAGGGTGAGCAGAGTATGGAGGGAATCAGAATGAAGAGACAAGATGTGCTCTATTGCAAAGTTCTTAGGAAATGTGCTAGCTGACTGCAGGACCCAAGACAAAGAACAACCAACAGCAAGTCAAATTGTCTGTTGGGCATATCATGCATTGTTTCATGAACAATGCATACTGCATTGCTTGTTCAAACAGGTGACTTAGCATGAAGTGCAAACCTGTCCACTACTTTTATACTTTCAACTATTTCTGAAATCCATTATTACTTAATGATACTTTAATGGTACTTTACAAAGATTAAAAGAAGATAGCCTTTGGGAGCTATTCTGTTATCTGTCCTTAGGTATTGACACTAATCTCAACCATATGGTTTGTTAATGTGCTACCTTGGTTTTGTATCTCCCTAACCCCTGTGGGTTAGAGTTAGACTCTAACCCACAGTTGGAGCTTATACATTCTAATTGGGTGTGTACTTTGATGCCCTTCACAGAAAAATGATTCAGGTCAACTACCCATTTTTTTCTCATGTCTGCTGAGATGCAGAACCAACTCTTCATGTCTCTGCTGGTTAAGAAGAATGGAGGAGAAAGCACACACAGAATTGCAATAGGAGGAAGATGGTCAGACCTGCAACTTGGCCCATCAACATCTTCCCACTTAAGAAACTAGAGCTGGACTTAGGATTCAGGCCTCAAGCACAAAATAACTGCTATCTCTGTAACATCCAATATTATCCTTGAAGAAGTAATGCTATTTCCACCCCAACACTACCCCCACTTGCAAATAACGTGGCACCTGGAATAAGTTTACAGACTCACAAATTTCTGCAACACTATTATGTGATACAAACTGTAAAAACGGTTTTGCCATCTACACTGGTTTCTCTCTTTTTTCTCATATATTTTTACTGCCTATGCAGTGCTCATGAAAAATAATGTTCTGTGAACCACACAACATGTGCTTGCTGAAATCATATCCCTTCCTTGCTTTCTGAATATTAGATATAGGAAGAATTTGATGCAACCTATGATATTATAAAAATTATCAATTCAACTGTACAGAAGAACTAACATTCAATCTGTTGCTCAGCTATGCATTTTTTACACTTAAAACATGTGTAACTCAGAATAGAAATATAGCTAACAGCCTTTTAGTTTCCATTAAACTGTATTTTAGAAAACACTTTTTCAGACTATATACAGCCAAAGTATATTTTACTGACACTTTTCAGTATCCATACATATTAAGGCATTACGACATTTATTTGTTTAGGATAGATTGCTCACTGGGTGCCAAAATAATTAAAATATGTTCTCTCTCATAAAACAACCAAAATAGAGATCAACTTGATTCTGCTCTGTATTGCAATCACATATCTCAACAGTTTCTACCCTAAAATCAATGGCATTGGACTGATAATTATAGAGCGACAGCAGTACCCGATTTACATCATTGTAACTTAGACTGTGGGAGGAAACCAACATGAGTTACTGAAATATTTAGCATCTTTGCCTCAAAGCCAACAGATAAAGGAGAAAATCCATTGTTTCTATCAGTGGTCAATGGTTTTAGGGTTAAATCAACTCACATCTCTGCTTGCTGAAGGGATTAAAAAAAACCCCAAAAGTGGATTATGAAAAAGTATCATTTTATTTAAAAAATCTAAAGGAAATATCTAATTCTGCAAGCGGGGGAAGGAATGGTGAGTAAAACATATAGCTTGAAACTACTAAATCCCAGGAGATGCCTTGATATCATTTACAGAAGGAAGCAATTCTGGCAATAGCTCTATGAATGTTGTTAATAAAAATGTTTCAGTTCCTGTCAATATACAGCAACTTTCTTCAATGCACAACCTGCTGAGCTCAAGTTAAATACAGACACACACATACACGATTGGTTCCTTAGATAGGGTTATGATTAAGATGGATGAATCAGATGGGCAAAAATAAAGACTAGCACAAGAAAGTTGTTGGTAATAGCAGTGCAAACAAATATCCTCTCTATAATGGTTCTTAAAAAGTTAAGATTAGATGTCAGAAAGCAAAGGCAATGAAAACATTATTGGCTGAGCCATTATTTGCAGAGGTGGTCTGCCATGGCCAACTTGCTACCAATATTCTTTTTCTAATTTTTTATTACTCATACTTTGTTGTCACTACCAAATCACAGGACAAGTTTCAAGAAGAACTCATCAAATAACACAGGTCCTTAAACTAATTTTGTTAACCTCTTAACTGCTTCAAGTAATGGCCAAAATCCAAATATTCTTGCACTAATTCTCTATGTACAAGAAAGAATGTGACCTGAATTTAACAGCAGGAGGAGTGGCAGCCTCTCCTCCTGCTGTAGAGCAACCCAGTTTTTTCAAAAGAGGGGAGTTTCCAAGCTGGTTTTCAATACAGCAGTATCTAAAGGGACTTGCAAGGCAATGTTGCTAAAGTCCCCGTTCTTAGAAACAGCATAGAAACTTCCGTACAATGGGCCATGGACATGGTAGCAAATCAGTATCACCAAATGAATATTCTCAATTAACTGCTGTGCCATATTGCTCAGTTCTTAGCTGGTCTACATGTGTTTTCATTTCTACCCAACCAGCATTATTCCCTTTAATTTTCTGACTTTTACATTTTAATTTAAAGTAATTCATTGGATCTCAGCTATATTCTGATCATGGTGCAGAGTGACCACCTATTGTAATCTAGTGAAAGACAGAAGACAGACAAAAAGAATTCAGCATACTGAACTCTGAAAGACTATGACCATTATGGTTCATGGTCAAGCACTGGTATATTCGATACTAAACATACTGGGTTGTATCCAAAAGTATGACAAAAAAACTGTTTGATCCAGTGGAGGTTTCTGTCCATGGAGCAGAGGATGTTTTTTACCAATCCTCCCTCCCTTTTGTAGCTCCCTGCGCAACATCCTATGCTGTTCCCAGCCATCGGGAACAGATCAGGGGCCTGCAAAGGAAAACTTCTTTCCTACTCAACTCCAGAATCCCCACCTCCATTCCCAATCAACTGACAAACCTCCACTGGATCAAAAAGTCCTCTGCTATCAGAGAAGCTCCATTCAATAGAACCACTTTAAGGGAAATAAATGCATGTGTGCTTGGAGAAGTCAAACAATATTATGAAAGTACTTCTCTCCTACTCAGATGTTATCATTAGATGTTTCTGAAGGACAGAAATCCTTCTAATCTTTCAGGAAACATTTGTCTTAAGAGGTCAATGATGTGCATAGGCAAAGGGGGGCACTGTTAAAGAATTAATACAATTAGCATTGGAAATGTACAGTGAAGTATTGAGTTGTTTATTAACACAGGTATGGAAGAAATATCTTGAGTTCCCATGAAGTACAATAGCTGTTTCTGGTCAGAACAGAAAGGATGTCATAGAAAGGAAGAAAATGGTAGAAGACAATCTAGTAAATAATGACTGAGATATTGAATAACCATGAATAGAACTCTGCTTGTGGGACGTTACCCCTGGAGGAAGGGTGGGTAGCAACTTTTTTGGAAGGTAGCACAGGGATAACTGGTAGAACTGCCTTCCCCCTTCCACAGATGGAATTAGGCATTCTGTTTGTGGAAGAGAAAGTCTGGATCCAGTTCTCTGAAGAGGAATTGAGAGAGCTGCGTACTCTTTCCCCTTTAGCAGCCCTGGCCACTGCCTATATTGTACAACTACTGAAACCAGTTCAGATTGTAGGAAAATTAATCCAGCACTGGAAGCTTATAGTCTAGCACAGATGTTTGAGATCAGGGTGCCAAAATATTCAAAACATTGAAAATCAACAAAAAGCACCCACAAAAAATTCTAACTATAACTACTTTTTTGAAACTAGTGGTCCAGGCACTAATCTAAACTCTAAGGTAAATTCCACTGGAAGAGGTTGACCTGGTCACCAATTATTCCTTTTCTCTTTCTGCCTGTTATACTAGATCTGCAGGCCCATGTTCAATTTCCCTGAGCTGGCTGACCAATCGTTTGAATTCTATTCACATAAAGTAGACTGCAACAGCCTCCTTTAATACCAAATGTTTCTTAGAGTCTAGTAAGTGCAGTATTCAGTTTCTGTGTATATTAAAAGGAATTCAGGAGCTAAGGCAAATGTTTATGTCTAAGTTATAAACCTTAAAAACTGTGGGATTTACTCAGGAGTTGACAGATTATTAACGGAAACAATGCTAGTAGTGTGATTATATGTTAAGAAATAACATAAACATCAAATGCCATCTGTATGCAGATCAGGCACTTCAGAATTTATCTTATGTTCCTGAAGAACATTTATCCATCAGTGAAATAACTGATCAGCATTGGAAACAAAAATTGATTCTCTTTCCAACCCCAACCCCACAAATGGCTCTTTCAGGGAAAGCAAGCTTTGCCTTATATGCCCTTTACAGGATTTCTGCCCTTTCTGAATTAAAATTGCACACAGAAATCACACTCCCATCTGTGAGTCAAGCTTTTTAGGAAGATGTAACGCAAGTGATCTCACTAAGGAAGTCTTGTTTTAATTAAGCACTGGGGCAGGGACTCCTTAAAGCCTGAGGTAGCATAGCATCATATGAGCACAAACCACAGTAAGGAAAGGAGATATTTAAAGGAGACACTCAAGAGCTTGGGAGGCCAGTTATTTCTTTTGGGAACTCTTGCTGTAAGATGGAGATAGCTGCTCCTAATCGGCAGCAAAGCTAATAAGACCACAGCCTTCATTAAGCAGGAAGTGGCAGGCCCTCATTGGTACATGCATCCTTCCAACTTGCCAACTTTTACTTCTGTTTTCCTCTCTGCAGAGAACCCTTTTCCTACTTTAAAAAAAATACTGTCTTAGCAAAGCACATTTGTCTGCTGCTATTATTGGGATGGGGTGGAGAGAACAGAGCTTGTTTATCAATGAGAAATTCATTTATCCACTTCCATGTCTCTGTGTGTGTATGTATCTGTGTAGACTAAAAGCCTCAAACCACACTGGAAATGAAGTGGTATCAATTTCACCTGTATGAAAGCATGTGAAATTAATGGCTCAAGTTTTATCTAACTGGTGATGCTTATGGATCACCACCACAATTTTCTGGTTGCATGTGCAATATTCACATAATAACAAGGTAGTTTTTTAAGTGGGCAGATGCTCATACTGGAGAACCCACTCTCATACAGGTAGCAATATTAATATTAATAGTCTCATGAATATTCTTATAAGATAGGACTACAACTGGAATTAGATAGAAACTGTTTTGTTTTTGGCATCCTGAGATAGAAATGTTGAAATCTGTTCTCTCTGCTTGATTTCTATTGGTAACTACCACTCAAAGTGAAAAAGTCTTCACATACAATGTTGTCTAATTTACTGAAACAGGTAGTGATCTTGTATGCAGTTATATATTCATAAGCCCCAGGTAAATTAATGGAACTTAGAAGTGACAGCCTTGTGTAAGTTTACTACCTAGAAAGCCTTCAATGCACTTGTCAGAGCCTTAGATCAGATTCAAACATTACTGTTGCCATATGTGAAGATGCTAGTGATGACTGGAATTGATATAGAGATTCTTCATGCTCTGGGACACTGAGACATGGAGATGTAATGCCTCCATCGCAATTGCATATATAATATTTCAAGTGCCTCTTAGCTCAGTTGAGAAAGAAGCTATATGGGCCCCTATAAGAAACCTCACATGTGGTAGTCTTTTTACTAGCATAAGAGATGTCAATGGATAAGGATATCAGCACAGAGGTTAACTGGTAGTATAACACAGCTGTTACTGCGGCAAGAAAAATAATTGGTGGGAATATCAGAAGCATGTTAGAAGAATCTTAATATCTTTGAGCTTTGATCCTTCATATAGACAGCTTTTCTTCTCAACTGAAAATCGGTTGGTTTGGAATCACATCTGTATTCTGCTTTTTTAAAGAAAAATAATATTTTAAAAAATATTGATGCTTCAGGTCCTTCACTGTGGGTCATATGCAATAAAATACAGTGACTCCCTTTTTCACTTTGCAAATGAGTCTCCAATATACAAGGCTAACTACAAAATAAAAACATGCAACCAATATGGCTTTATTTTTTCCACTATTCTTTTCCATAAGAGTTAGATAAGCCAATTTGTTGTGATGCCTAATAAGAATATGTGGGTGTGTACCAGCATTAGGGATGTGTGAGTAATAAAATCCATGGCATAACTGGTGCCACCTTTAACAACATTTCTAGCAGGCACTAACTCTCAGAACCATCAAATCTCATAATGGAACATGAAAATAACATACTTAGGATGGAAACTAGGGTAAGGAGTATATGGAATTACTTTAGGTACTCACAAGATTTTATATTTTGCTTGAAACTCAAATACTTTGGCCACCTAATGAGAAGGAAGGACTCACTGGAGAAGACCCTAATGCTGGGAACAATAGATGGCAAAAGAAGAAGGGGACGGCAGAGGATGAGGTGGCTGGATGGAGTCACTGAAGCAGTCAGCGTGAGCTTAAGTGGACTCTGGGGGATGGTGGAGGACAGGAAGGTCTAGAGGAATGCTGTCCATTGGGCCGTGATGGGTCGGACACAACTTCACGACTAGCAACAAAAAGTCTTTCATTACTTATGTGCTTTGCAGCACTATATCTTTATGCCTCTGGATGGTATCTGGTGCTCAGCATTAGAACCATGTGCAGAAAGTTTTCCAGTATAGGTGTTTCCCATAAGGAGAAATTGTTAAGACATTGTATCGATCTAAAACATGTAGGCTACATACCTGAAATCAATCTTTTCAATCAAGTGGGAAACATTTTTGAACATGGGAAAATATAACTGAATACACACACCTAATTTTGTTCTTAAAAAATTTGGGTATCTAAGTATCCACCCCCTTGGCTTTGGTCTTTCTACAAAAAGTGCACCAGTCATCATTGTTCAAGATGCTTATACAAGCTGTCACAAAAAGCTCCAGTTACACTGAATTCCAATGATGGAGAGACAGATTAACAGGCCAAACATACTGTTATCAACACCAATGAAAGAATCCTAGCCATATTGATCTCTGTAGAAAATTCCCAATAATTTCAATGCAAGATTAAACTAGCAATTAGTATCAAACATCAGTGAAATTTTAAAATAAGGGATATTAGATGTCTCTCAAACTTTTGGATAGAAGTTAGGATTAACCTAATTTGGTTTCTTTATGTTGCCAAAACACAAATCCAAAGCAATAGGGGAAACAGTTGGCCTTCAAAGGATGGCCCTTACCTGTTCCGTTGTTTCCAGTGGTCTGAATTGAAGCTTCAGGCCCCATGGTGTCATACTCTTCCTTCATTTCTTCTGTAATAAAAGAATACACATATTCAGTATTTCACTTAGAAAAGAGTTTACTCAAACAGAAAGTGACTGGAAATAACCAGTATGATACTTTCACCTAAAAAACAGAACAGGCTACTTATAAACCTCTGAACAATGGCTTTGCTCAAGCAGTTTCATGAATTTTATCATGTTAACAGAATGTCAAGGGTCAGTTCACACAATATAGATTTTCTTCATATGAACAGTTTCAGTTGTTACTGGGTATGTGTTTGTGTGGACACAGTGCATGAACTGGATGATTTGGAGATATGGCAATACTTCCTGTGATGTTGACCAATGGCAACACTATGATCACAGGAGAGGTTGCTGAAACATTTCAATTTGTTCAGACAAGCACATATTAAATAAATTGACAAGAGTACATGTATGTGTATGGGGGCCAGACTGAGAGATCCAACCCTAACTTATTCACTATAAATTTTACAAATACCAAGAAACAACAGTATATTTTGGCATAAATTAAGGGCTTTTGTGCTGATCAGTAGGCCAAACAGTGTAAAAACAACCTTCACTACCTAAATTATTCACAGAAAGGAAGTACACTCATATTACTAGAACCGATAACAAATAAATATTAGCAGTTTGTACAGCTAGTGTTGTGAACTGGTTAGCATTTTGATGATGGGCACATAGGTGGAAATCCCCATTCACCTGTGTAGCTCACTTGCTAAGTTTGGGACAGTCTAATTTAACTCACAGCTGTCATACATGATGAGCAAGTATGTATGCTGCTTTGAGCTCCTTGAAGGAAGACTGAAGATAAAAATGTAGTAACTCATTATACTTGCTCCACTTACCATTTTACAAAATTAAGAGCCCTTGGTTACTGGGCAGTATGAAAATGAAATCAATAAAAGAAATTGTGTCCAGCTTCTTTTGCACCTGCATGTTATTCATTTGGAATAGGTTAACTCAATCTTTCATCACTCGCAGGAACCTTCCATTCTCAATAAGCAATGTAATATGTGAGCTGGTTCTAATTGCAACAGTTAATCTCAAGGGCACCTTCCTCTATGTTACAGATTACTGCATCTGATGGTTCCACTGGTCATGTGACGAAATCATTCCTATGAACAAAAAAGTTGCACCAAGGGATACATTGATCTGTCCTTAGAGTCTATTTCGTTTAAAGCCTCATTTCAGCATCTTGTTTGTTTTGTACATTTGATCTGAGCAAAGCTCATAGCATTGGGCAGAGAAGGATTACCCACCCACCACACACACACAATGTCACTCTGTCTTGCAATTAGCCTTTCACACCAATGGAAGCCTTTTTTAAAAAATCCCAGTTGTGGTTCAGGAGGATTTCGGGGGGGGGGGGGTTGAAGTGTTGTGATTCCTTGGCAGGACTTCTGTGATTTAGTCCTTCCCTCCTTGGCAGGACTTCTCCATATACACTACAATTAGACTTTGAAAAAGACCCTTTTGAATCAGTAGAAATCTTTTAAAAGCCTAAATATTGTTAGGCAGGAGGGAAGAGAGGTTACTTTTCCATAAATGATGAGTGATTTTTTAAAATCTTGCTGGGGAGAAGGTGTAGGACTTGAGCAGCAATGATGATGATTGGAGAAGTTGGTGACCTAGATGGAGAAGGCTCCACAAACTGTATTCAGAAGTTCCTCAGTGAACTAAGCAACTTTTACCAGCAAACATGAAAAAAATGGCTGTTTAGGTACTATCATCTATCACTTTGCTTTTG